GACGACGACGACGACGACGACGACGACGACGTTGCGCCGTTTTGAATTTCTCGGCCAAGAACCGTGAAATGAACGACTTTTAAACCCCCAACTTAAATGATGTTGTCATCTTTCGACTTACCGAACCTCTGCTCTCTTTTCTCGCGCATTTTTAATCGACGATTTCTCTGCTCGTACGCGGGGAGATACGCTAATTAACAAATCGAGTTTCGTCGTTATAAACGTGAAAATTGGGCCGCGCGGCACCGTGGATACTAAAAATTCTCCATTAGCCTAAGAATAAGTTAAATTTGATTATGAGCGTTACGGAAAAAATACCTAAAGCTCGAATGGGCTTAAATCGGCTACGCGTTTTCGAAAATTCTCGAGACACCGACTTTCCTTATCCGATCGTAAGGTTCATAAAATCACTTACTTGTGACGGTGGTAACATCGTAGGAGAACCGAAAGTGAGTGGAACCTTTCTGTGATGATTAGGTGCCATTTCGAGAGGTAAGCCCGCCACCACGAAAAGTTGATAAAAGAGCTCCTCCACGTGGTAGTTCCTCTTTGCGGAAGCCTCCACGAAAACGCAACAATCGTCCTGACTGTTGCAATATTCTTCTGCTTCTTCTACCGTAACTGTTCTGTGAACACACCGAACATATTCGTCGTTTTTTATTCCTTTTTTATATTCTTTTGCGAAATACTGTACTGCGCGACTTCTAAAATTTTGTCGCGATCGAACATTGTCTCGTAGTTAATTAATTAATATATGTATATTATAAAAGCGGAATATGTGTTTGTACATTATATCGAGACGTATATTTCAACATTCTCGTATTTCGAGATGTCTGCATTCCTATGTTGCCACCTGCTTAGATCAATAGGTCGTTAGAAAGAGAACGTCTTTCGTTTCGATACACCTGATAGTTCAACTTAATTTACTAAATTTTTAGTAACATCCGAACGAACGAACGAACGAACCAATTGCGAATTACGTTCCGATCGAAAGGGAATTTTTTCTTGGTCGGAAGTATTACGAAGAAAAGTTGTTTCCCTTTTATAAGGATGCATGTTTTTGCCAATTAGAGTGTAATCGTGCAATTTCATCGCACGCTGTACGTCGTGTATATGTATCTATGCAGAAGCGGACATCGTAAATTGGTATCGAGTCGAAATGGAGTGGAAAGTTTGCAGCGGTGCGTAGTAATAGCTAATAAGTAAATTAGTTAGGAAATTTCATCGATTAACCCTTTCGCTACTACTGAACGAACGCGGATTATTACGAGCGACTACGGTTGTTCGGTGCAATTATTTTACACTTAAGATCGTTGGATGGAACGAATGGAAATTTTGATCGAATGTCCATTTCTCTGGAAATGTTGTCGACGTACTTTTGGAGCTTCGCAGTCGCGGAGTCGCGAGACACAGCGAAAGGGTCAATTGACCGATGTTCGATGAATTAATGGTCCGAGACGGATGATACACGATGCACATACTTAACATCCTTATCACATTTATTCCCGACGATGACCATAGGAACCTTCAAATTGAAGTGACTCTTGCTTCTGCTCTTCGTGGCGCTCTGAGTTGCGCTAACTTTAGTTTCCAGGATCGATTCTCGCAGTCTGATGGCCTCTTCGAAGGATTCCCGACAATCCAAACTGAACACCACCACGAACAGATCTCCTGTATCACAAAACTATCTTTAAACAACTATGGAAATGAATGGAAGGGAAGTTTCGTTCCGCGACACCGACGCAAATATCGATCTCTCGTAGCGAGCAAAGTTATTAATCAGTTTCGAGTCTCGCGTAAAAAATCTGCCAACTTTTACAACAAAATACAAGTATAACGATCGAACAATTTGAATTTTAAAGCGTCATAATATGTGGCCGAAGAACGATCGTTAAGTTTTTTCCTTTATCGTAACGATCGTTTATCTTTTACAAGTTTCTCCTTCCCATGCAAATTATTCGGAATCTCATTAAGCACTCGTGCTGGTCAAAGTTCACGCGACTCGTTGAAAACGTTGCAACCAGTTCCGTCGGGAATAACTACCGGAGACTATCAATTTTGACGACACACGGAAAATCGTGTCGGAATAGATCAACTCTGTATCGTCTCACCGAGTAGCTTGTTTCGTATTGTAAGCTGCACCGCGATAGATCAATTCTTCTTTCGCTGATATTTGTCAGAACGTATCTAACAGAAATAGCGGTCGTACCTGTTGTGGAAATTTATAACGCATCGATCCTTAGATACAATTTTTAATAGATACACTTTTTTAATAATAATCTAATCGTCTTTAAACATTGATCGCAGCGTACATTAGCAGAAATAGAATAGAAATCGCGACAGATCTTGTTCATGTTACGATCGCATTCGCATTCATAGTATGTATTCTATATTTCTTTCGCGCTCCAAAGATTCCACGATGGAATGTCGGTCCTCTTGCTTCCGGCTCTCTTCCGACGAGGAAAGAAGCGTGCAGCCCATGGGAGAAAATAATTAACGCAGCTTGGATGGATCGCGTTGCAAACGCGAGCCGAACACGACAGAGTAAATGCAACGGAGAGATTTCTCTTTCGTATCTCGTTGCTTCCGACTAATCGTTTCTCGTGTAGTACGAAGCAAAGAAACGTTACCCGCGATATAATAATGTTAAACAGGATTTCGATGCAACTATTTCATTTGTTCCTAGAACGGTTTTTCTAATTGACATAACTTCGCGCGTGTATTATGCCCGAAGAATATGTATATATACATATAATATATGCTTCGCGATTTTAAATTACGAGCGCGCGTCGTATGGAATAATACGCGGTAACTGTCGAACTGATAGATACCGTATCGAGTAGCGAAGCCTTCTTCTTCAATTTGCTGGCGGGCAGAAGGAAAACTTGAGAATATGGAAAATTTGTCGGTGTACGAGAGCTCGTTTATGTAAATACGAAATTAGAAGTCGAAGCTAGCGAATAGTATGTAGAAGCTAGCGTCGCGGTTCAATTTATTTGGATCGAATTAATCTCGGTAGGACGAAAACGTCGAACCGATTGCGGCCATGTGCAGGTAAAAGTGAATGGACCGCAGGTTGCTATCTAGGAGGAAATCGTTATCGCGTCGAACAGGCTTTGTTCTCGAGTTGACTATAAAGTTAGCACGATTCTACGATGCGGAACAGATCGTTGGCGGACGATAAGTTCTCTCGAAAGCTCTTCGAATCGGACCACGAGCTCTTTTCTTCCCATCTGTTTGCAAATAGCTGCGAAGGAGGCGATGGAAACTTTACTGTTGGTGTTTACGTTCGAGTCCTCCTTTCTCTCTAGTCGAGATACTTTTCTTAAAAACAAGCTGGTAGAACGATCTTCTAGTCGTCATCTTTCGATCGAGTTGTTTAAACTTTATTTATCCTGTGACGCGAACGATCGTTTTTCTTCTATGTCTTCTATGTCCCTCGACTTTGCCCGGCAGATAAGTGCAGCGCAAACACACGCGACCAAGATCTTAGGCGAATTCGTCCGGAGTGGACGGTTTACGGTGTATGGAATCTGTAATTCATTTACGAATAAAGGAGAATAGAAGACGAAAGGGCAGAAAAGAGATCCGTTTAACGAAACGCCTAGCTCTTAAGTTAATTAAAAGGAAATCTTATCGCGAGTAATTAGGACAAAAGGTGGATAATTATGATCAATCGAGAGGTTGGAGCGAAGCGAGAACGGTCGAAAGTACGAGAAAAGGGGAAGGTTCGAATAATCGTGAGAGACATTGGGAGAACTGATTTAAACGGAGATTCCATTTTACTGAAATCTGTGTCGCGCCATTTCGAACCTTTTCTTCGATTCTCTCTCGTTCTCTCCACGAAAAGGATCCTTTAACTCGTCCCGCTCTCAACGTGTCGAATTTTCTCTCGAGCAGAGAATATTTTATTTTTTCGCGATCGATTAATGTTTACTACGCAAAATATACGAAACTGAGTTGGCGAGTTGAAATTTATCAAGTCGAAGGTTAGCTTTCGAGTCGAAATTGTAGTCGAACTTGGTAATTCTACGATACTTGTTCGACGCTTCTAATATTACTATAATTTCCACAAAAGCAATGCAAGATTAATTGCATGCTAAGTAAGTAGGTACGTATTTCGTTACGTCGAATACGATCGTCGGGCTCAAGTACCTGATAGTCAAGTACTTGAATCGATAATATACGTATAGAAATGTATAAACAGAGTACACAGATTAATTAATTATAGACAGATTAATTATAGAAATCTGTTTATTCGAGGCTCGACGTATTATTATAAATGACACAGCTTCTCTGATACGAATCGTAGCTCGAAAGCCGACTTTAATAACGGCTTTTCCAGCATCGTAATCTCGATGTCGGTCTATGTAAGAGACTCGCCCGGACTTAATAACTAACCCTCTTTTTTCTCTTATTTTGCATAGCAGCCGCGTTCGTCTAGTCGAGTATAGTCGCGTCTAGTCGCGTTGAATGGCATCGACTAGCAAATATTCGTATCGCGAGCGGAGGTCCGCGTGGCATGTAACGCTCGTATAACTCGGGGAGATGAAAATTTTCGTGGAAGAAGAGAACTAGATGCAGTAAAAACCTCCGTTTCGTCGTATATTCACTCGATCGCACGATTCATTTTGCCGATTAATTTATATCGTATTTTCATCGCGAAAGAAATAAAGTTCATTTATTAATGAAAGAAATCTATCTACGTAGCAGCGATGCAGAAATTCTACCACCGATTCTGTACACTGTATAGGGATTTAGAAATTTCGGAATATATGTATGTTTCGATAGGACACAACGCGCGCATACATGTTTGTAAATGTCGTTTTACGATGCTTTCGTGACATAAGTTTTCGTATCTCGAAATCGTTCATTACATAGTAAGGCGATAGAGCTGCTCGCGTATTGCTGTTTATTACGAGCGCTAACTAGACGCTAAAAGCTCTACCATAATCATTTTTATGAAGTTCTACATTTCAAACTAATATACTGCAAGTGGCAAACGAAATGCAGTGGTAAGTGGAAGAAATCGATACCTGTCCAATGTATTATAAAATGAAGGATTGTTCGTTCCATGTATTTGACAAAGTTACGAAAATTCGTTGATCGGTAGACGAGTTTATTCGAAAGCGTCGTCGGTCGCGGTCGTGCTCGACCCGGCTCGATGCATATTTCACGCGCGTGTCTCGAGCGTCTCTTCTGCTCGGTCGCGTTCGACTTCGAACCTAACCATCCAAAAGCTAGAAATGCCTTTTCAACGTTATTAACGCGTTTATTTCAACGGCCGTCAATATGTTTCCTTATCGCGTCAATGCTCGGCGACTTGCTGACATCGTCGATAAGAACTAATTAATCACGGCTACGATATTAAAAGAGACGAAGAAAGTTGAAATGTTATGTCAGTTTGGTGTAATGCAACCCTTGATTATGGAAACTATAATTGGACTTGAACTCGAAATTGAAACGTATTCAAAATTCGAGTAAAATTGGTCACGGCTGAAGTACGAGTGCGTGACGAGTCAGACTCGTGGAAACAGTAAGGCTAAGCGAAGATGAATCGTAGGAACACTATTTGCGCGTCTGATTCTCGTTTTCCAATGGTTCGAACGCTCGTTTCGTACGAAAGATCCTCGTTCGCGGCTACGCTGCTAATCGGACATTTCGAGTCTCGGCAGTACTTATCCTATCTATACGGAAATATAACGCGACGAACGAACGAACGAGTCGAAAGAAATTGAACCGCGTATCGAAACTGGATCGCGTTCGATTAATTGGCGTTGGATTCGATCCTGATATTATATCTTTGGTATTTATGGGCACACGCGTTACGAGAAGCGAATCAACGACGAGAGAAGAAATAGCTCCTCGAGAAAAAATCGAATATAGATACCTACGTTATGCAGGTGAAAATTTTCAGGAGAAAGGACAGAACAAAGTGCGAGCGTTACTGAATCGTATACGTTTGTCCTCGACTACGATGCAAGCGTTTAATCGAAGCGTGGATCGAGCTTGCAAATTGCACGGTTATTCGCTGGTTTGTTAAATGTCATTTATTACACGCGCGCATTCGTTGATGCGAATAATTAGTTAGAACGCGATAATTACGGAAATTTATTAGGAAGCAGGGTAACTCCGGCGTCTTGGGTAGATATTTCAAGCAGGAGATAAACTCGCGGCTGTAACGCAACGTTTTCATTAATCACGCCAGAGTGGAATGATTAAAAGGATAAATATCATCGTATTCGCGAGTTGAAAATTTCGTACTGGTAAAGCCGTACTGGTAAAGCGTGCGATAATATTAATAACGAATCGTTCTTCTTGTTATTATATAGTATCCTGCTGATGCAACGTGCGCAATTCTACGACTATGATCAATCGTTTCCAAACTGAAGCAAGCTCGTTGCAAACATGAAAAATGTTAGGTTAGATCTTTCTAAATGGAATACGTGAGTAAATATTTTGTTGAGAGAAGAAAAAAATAATGTAAAATATTTCCGTGGTAGATCAGTTTTATCGAGTAATTGTTGTTATCGAGAATTATTGTTCGATCGAATAATTGGCAGGATCATACCGAGGGTGCAGAGGTGTTCACGTGGTGGTTGTATGATGTACGGACGCACACGTGAGGTGCGCGTGTGTTTCGTAAGTCGAATGATCAATACGCGTACAGCCGTAATACGCTGGTATACGGAATATGCGTACGGGCTGTCGTCACGTGCGTCACGGCTGATGCAAATACATTTTTCCGGAAGAGAAAGCGAATCTATCGTTTTGCTCGTGACAGTTTTCCAATTGGTATCGCGTTCATCGAACTGGACAAGTTTCTACGTCTAAACAGCTACCTACGAAGATCTAACATCGAATGGAATATTTGATTTTTATTATCTATTTTATTTATTATTTAGCGAATAGCGGTGATAATATGTATATTTTCAAAGGTTGTTTAGCAGTTTGTGCCGCGTCGTGTCGCAACTCTCCGGTTGACTCGCACAATACTTTCCCGGCGAGCATTTCAACTTTGCCTGCAAATATTGACTATGCGCGTTTCGCAAAATTGCGGAGAATCGGTAAAAGCGTGCCGCTCACCGACGAATGCCACTCGAGCATATTCTCGTGGATAGCGTGCCGATGTTACCGTTGCGTTGGATTTTCCTATCCTGCTATCTACGCTCCAGCGGAATCCGTTCGACGAGCTGTTGTTCTCTAGGACGTCGTCGAGTTTCGCTGTTCGATCGATATTTCGCTCGATATCGAGACTGTAACCTCTCGCTCGCACTTGGCTGGAAACTCCACGGAAACGAAGTTACCGGACTAGATGGAAGAACGGCTGCTCAACAAGTTGCGGAAGCGGATCTTGGCTCGTCGTGTACGGACCAAGAGACATCTCGCGTTTCGAAAACAGAAGGCCTTGTTCCCTTTGTTCCTTATTTTACCGTGTACCGACCTCGTGTACGGATAAAAGAATACATATTTTCGCGTTACCCGCGGAAATATAGAATTTCAAAATTATGAAACATCTCGTATCCTGTGTATCGAAACGGTCAATTAAAAATCAACGAATCCTAGTCGATTCGATTTAAAGCGGCCAGTCGAGCGGATTTAAGTTAACAGACTTACCTGTTAGGAAGGATAATCGTCGCATGGCGGGAAACGGATGGTTGCCGCTCGTGTCCAGCAGATCAAGCTGATGGACCTCTCCTCTGATTCTGTACAGCTTTCGATGGAAGTCTTCGATCGTAGGCGTGTAACTTTCCTCGAATTTGTTGGACAGAAACCTGAACATAAAGAGTTCTCCCTTTGATACGCGTTCCTGTGCCTCCGCGATCTCGAGATAACTCTATACGGAAATAGGTAACAGGTTAGTAAAAGGTAGGTAAAAGATTAAGGAGATTTTAACAGGTACGCAGATTTTTCCGTTTAGAACGCGTGTTTAATGTTTAGGTAGTTGAACGTTGAAAACGCGACATTCAGTCGGGTGTCCGTTTAGCGCCAATACCAGCAACACCGATCGGATTTCGAATAGAACGAAATCGTTTGTCCCATTAGCAACGATCGAACCGTGCAAGCCCAAACTCGACTTTGTTTCCATGATCGATCGTGCAGAACGTTCTGTCGACGAGTATTTTCTTCGTCCATGCCGCCAATTATTTCGCAGTATGTTCAAAGTTTTCAGGATCTACCGATAGAAAAAGAAGATATTGGATCGATAAGTAAGCTTTATTTTTCGATTATTTTAAATACTCAAATTCCCGCAGACTTTTCCTTTCGAAATCGACTATTCGCGACAACCTGACAGAATAGGCTCTCCATGTTCCATCTCGACAGAAAATTTTCCGTGTACCCAACAGAGGTGTTTCATATGTCGTACTACGACATCGATACGTTTAAACTTTCTCGACGAAATAAAGAAAATTCGAACACTCCTGGGAGCGTTGATCAGTTAGCGTAGCTAACAAACGCTTACGCGCGATCGAACAATTTCATGGAGATAATTTTCGTTTCGACTGTCCACCTAACGATGCGAGTGTGTTCGAAAATAGCCGCGAAACGCGATTAGTATTCCATCGAACGATAATAAGAGAAACCGGTGCAGAGATTTTTCGCCGGACTCGTTGGCCGACCAGCGATTCGGTACTGGTCGAATAAAGTTTGCCGAGAAAATTGGCCGCGTTCATAACGTGCTGGAGAAACCTGCTGCTCGATCGAATCACCGGCAAATTGAACGCGAAACTCCTCACCGAATCTATTAACGAGCCGTTTCTCGAAGGACGTTCTCGTTCGCGTGCACGCGTTAACGAAGCGACAGACAATACCGAGCCGCGTTATATCCATTTTGGTTATTATTGTCGAATCGGAAACTTTAGTCGACATCTGAACGCGGATCGTGAGACGATTCGAGGTGACGCGAAGAAAGGAAAGCGCGCATTGTCTCCGAAAGCCGTTAACGAGCTCGACGAGTCGCGTATCGGTCGCGCCGCTGAACATTCGGAAATGTTTTCAATTTAATCGAGCGAGATTCGCGAGAAACATTCGACAGAGAATTTAGCGAATCAGTGACAGTCACGTCCCGTCGCGCCCCGTCTCGCCCCGTCTCGCCCCGTCGCGCTACGCCGTTTTTTCCCTCCGGGTTAAAAATATCTTCGCCTGTTGAAAGCTTTTTGGTTTTCGCCCGGAAACGAACCAATACGTTTAGGAGGTGGTTGTTTCGCTATCGTTGGTCAACCGACTATCGTTGTCGCCTCTAAGCGTTAAATGCTCTATCGGATAAGTTTTTCTATTTTTCGATTTTTTTCATGGACTTTGAAGCGTTACTTTTCACGGAGTAACTGTTGTCGGGAATAAAGCGTACATTATTTTTTCAAAGTAATTTATCGGAGCTTCGGTCACTAATCTACTTCGGTAACTTTGAACCGCTGAAAAAATTCACCGTTACACGAATTTTTTCGCCTTTCGATACAGCTGACAATTATTATATGCTATAATAAAATATAATTTAATCGAAATTTAGTTACCTTTAAATTTCTTCGTTTCGAATCGACAATGTGATTTATATGTGATTTAACTGAAATAATAATAATAATATAAAAATGGATGAGGAAAAAGACGAAAGATCGCGGTTGTCGATGAAAAGTACAAGGTTGTAGGCGATAGTATCGCCGATAAAAGCGCTCCAGTTTCTGAAACGGATCAGAAATTCTCGTCGACTTTGCATCGAATCGATACCCTTAAAATTGATGTTCGGAATCGGCTGGAACCGCGTCGTTTAATCCTATGGTGAACCCGGTTGTCGTTCGACGCGAACGAACACGGACAAAAAAACGTTCTCGAAAAACCTTTCCGATTCGATCCGATTCGATCCGATTCGATCGTTCACGAAATTAACAACCTCTAAATGGTTCAAAGTGTTCCGAACGTTCTGTTCGTTTTTCTTTTTTAACGCTGCTGCGACCGACGATCAACGAACGTTCGTAACGAAGGAAAGTTCGACCAGTCGGTTCTCCGAATAATTTCTTCTAAACCGAGCATCCCCTAATTCGACGATGAAAACTACGCAACGGTTCGTCTTCTGTTACAGACTTTGTATTTTCTTTCAGGAGAAAATCGCTAGAATTTTCGTAGATCCGCGAGCGACGTAGCTGGCTCCCGTTTAAATTCTCCATTCTCCGTTTAGCTGTCCTGTCTCTGAAGGGTTACTCGGTACCAGCATACCACAAATCGCAAATCGCAACTGTCTATGCCCGAGGGAAAACTCCTATCTCTTCCTCTGCTTAAAACGAAAAAATATGCGGCATGCTATTCGAACAACTAGGCTTCTAACTGGAATATATTGCCCCACCAACTAGCATTTATACCGGTCATTTATATCGCTTCCCCTATTATCGTGTAAAGAATTATCGTATAAATCCTATTTCTCGTTCTCGTATTTTATACATTGGAAACATTGGAAAAACGAGGCATAAATATGCGAAACTAAAGAAACTGAAGTATTTAAACGCTGATAATCTGGCGACAATGCATTTTGGCGCAGTAAAGCTAGGTAACGATAGACTCGCGTGCGAAAAATCGGTACGAAGTGTTGCCAGCGCTTTTGGGGAGCGCGAGGATTCTTGTAAAAGAATATTCGAGAAGAAATGGCGAGTACAGAATCGTAACGAAGGATTACCGTGCTACAATGGCAGTTTTGCCGACCCTCGCGCTACCGAGCATAACCAGACGGTAACAATTCCTTGGCGGCGGCTTGCACGCGTCCTCCTGCGAAGACGTAGACGCGGGGCTTGGGCTGACTGGTATAGGGAGGATGCCATCCTCCGAGCCTGAGGGCCCCTCCAGCTCGGGGCCCGCTTGTGCCCCTCTTCGACCTCGGTTGATCCGTTGCTCGGACTCTTCCACTGCACTTCCGCTTCTGTACAGCCTCTGCACGCAGCACAGAAGTCGGCCGCACGCCTCCAGCTGTAATCAACGTGTTCCTTTTATTGCTCGTAGTTCGCGAATCGAGCCGGCAGACCAATTTATTCGAGTAACATTCGCGAACGGGTTCGCGTTTTCTTCCGAACGATGTTACGTCGTCGATTCGACTTTTAACATTCGTCGTTTCGAATAATTTCGAATAATTTCTTTCGGGTTCAATTTCGAGCCACGATTCGTCGAAGCAAACAATCGCGAACGATACGCGCGACCAAGTTGATTGTAAAATGCACCAACAGATAAGGAGAACGCTGCCTGCTACCTTCGTAATTATTTTAACCGTGTAAACGTTTGAAACGCGCGTGCGAGCTGCATATCGCCGACGTTACGCGAAAATAGAACAGCGTTTTGCCAAGTTCAACGCTTTCGCGTTCAGTTTCGTAGAATAACAGGCAAATTTCGAGGTAGGAAGATATCGAAAAAAGGGTAAAAATCAAAATTTCACTCGCGATCTTGCGACGTCGGAAATTATTAACTCGAAATTCATATAGAGGAACGAAAACGCGTGCTTGCATCGATAAATTCAATGTTTATAAACGAGATCGCAACAATTCGTTCAACGAAGAAATCGTGATGTGGAAATATTCGAATCGTTGGGAATTTCGTCGCGTTTTAACCGCGTGTCGTAAAATTTGATTAAACGTTTTTAAACGTTTCTCGTGAGCACCATTTTAAAGCGTGCAGCATTCGTTTCACGACCAATCTATCTGTACATACATACGTGTATATGTATGTAGAGAAAAAAACATCGATACGCATGAATATTTAACTGAAAGCATTCATTATTCGTATGCTTGATTCGAACAAACGAGCACGAACCGCGCAACAATGCGAAATCAAATATTTTCTTCTTCGCCTTCTCTATAACCCGAATTTCTACCGCAACATGGCCAAATATACGAGAATACATGATTTATGATGGCGCGGCATGATTCGTTACGATGTATCTATCGATCCTTGTTTCTATTCCAGCTGAGAAGCTTTGTTCTCCAAACGAATAACATCGCCGGCATTCTTAGCCAGACACGTAACGACTTCTTCTTGCCTACGGGAGAAAAATCTTTCTACGAATACGAATTCGATGAAATTGCTTCGTTTCGAGTGTTAAATGGACGCGTGTAGAAAAAAGGACGGAGTTTAGAAAGGTTTTGCTTGGTCGCGCGTCACAGAAAATAGGAAAGGATGCGAGGTAACTGTTCTCCCTCGACCACCTCTCGAGGTACGCGAAGCGAAAAAGGAAAAACCTTTAAGGGTGCTTTGACTCGGGAAAGTTCGCCGAGATATTTAGACGAATGATTGATAACGTTTTCGATCGCCTTCAAAAGAAACCGGTCTCAGTTCGGTAAAAACCAGTGAATCTCGGTCCGACAATGGAAAGAACGTTTTCCTTTTTCAAAGAGGACCCTTTTCAGGAAAATTCAACGTTTATCCGTCGCCTGACCGAGTTGGGAATCAAGTTGGTCGCGTTGCAACGACTGTTCAAATTAAATAGATTTTACAAGAATAAATAACCATTATTTTTGATCGATTTTTTGAAATCGTCGGCATTTCGTGCGTCAGAGAACTGTAAAGAGTAAGCAACGGTGAGAGATGGAAGTCGCTGGAAGGTCGGCCGATGAATTATTCGAGTCGCTTTGCGTCAGAAATCGCGGTTCGGTTAATTATTAAAATTGGCGAAACCGATGTTCGGCCGTAGCATCGATAATTGTGTCTCTAGATTATAGGAGCAGCGAACGAAACAAAATTATTCGAATATGTCGGTGGATGCACGTTAATTGGCCCTGTCTCCGTATAAACAATATGTAGACTTTGAGCGGAATAGCACGATATAACGACGAGCTTGCCATTTTAGAGCCTGTAACCGAATCGAACGCGTGTTTATTTAACGTCTTTGTTGCCGTATTCGCCGACTACGAAAACTTTTCGAAAGAAAAATCGATACTTTTTCCAAACTTTGAAATTCCCACTTGAAATATAATCGTAAAGTCGTGTTTGAAGCGACAATTGTCTGTCGAGTACGTTCAGGCCACCGAATCGTCGTTAGTCGAAGCTATCGCGAACGAAGGATACATTAATACGATACGCGATACGATTCCTTTCGATCGGCTATTCGCGAATTCACGGCGTACGATTTCATTGGATTCAACGGAATATATTTTTATGCATCGCAGTTCGTGCGAGAACGGCCGGCCATACGAGAAATCGTATTCCTTGCGAGTGGAAAGCTGGCACGAAAATTTCGGAAAATTCCATATTTTTCACGTACGGATTAACTCGTTGCCTATCGTTCGCGAATCAGGAACGCCCGTGGAAAATCTAATTTTCAGCTACTTTTAAAAATAGCATAGTTAACATTTGTTATTTAAACCGGGTCATATGTAAACGAGTCAACGATCAGCGGAGATTTCACGAGTCACGCGAAATATTCAGCCGTTGTTTTCGATTAAAGCGCAGAGGAATTGATCGAAGTAAGTTGTCCCCTGACGATAACTTTCACGAACCCGTGATAATTTTATAGGTTTGTTCGGGAGAAGTTGGTTGGCGCCACCGTGGGATCCCCTGGTGCAGCGAATCGGTTCAAAGCATACGTCGACAAAGGGCCGTATCTTTTCTAACAGGCCGGTCCATTGTGCGATGAAGAGGAGTGCAATTATACCGCGTACAGAATTTTGTCTCGAACGTAAATCGGTTTGTCTCTGGTGGCGCGTAACGAGAAAAGCCGACTAGACTCCGCGAGGGAACGAATTCGTACAATAGCTACGCATTATGGCGGTAACGATCGTCCGAACAATTCTTTTGTTCGCGCTTGTCGTTTTAAACGTGGCTCCTCTGTTACGAGAACGAACGAGTTATTATTACGTAAAAATCGATCGGGCAAATGTTTGTCGGGCCAGGTATTTCGTACGCGTAAATTACTTCTTTGTACGCGCGATCATCGCGTAACCAAGGGAACGTATATTAATGAAAGCGTGTAACGATTTTCATTTAATTGGTCCGTTTACGTCTCGTACGAGAACTATGTATACCAGCTATTCTATCGAATCTTTGTCGTTTCAAAGCGATTTTTATCTTATCTTCTATACTATTCCCATAGTATACTATTTATCGTTATAATTCGCATGTACGGTGACCGAAGAAAATTAAAGCGGTTATACTGTTTTTCTAGAGAGCTACGGTTATTTAATCTAACAACCCTGTAACGTTTCGTGTTCCCTCGTCGACTTGATCGCGTCGCTCAAACTCGACGTCATCGCCGATCGTAAAGTGTGTCATCGATCTCTACGGAGTCTCGATAAATTTGACTTTGTCCAACGGACAAAGTTCACTCTTATAATAAATTGTTGCAACGGGTGAACGAGCGAATATCTTGAGCGAAGCGTTTCTCGAAAACCCGTATAGCCCGTAGGACAATCTCGACACGGTTTCAGTTCGTTGAAAAGTTCGCCTCACAGTCTTTGAGCGACGTATTCGCGTGTTAGCGACCCATTTGCGTTAACGGGCAAATAATAGAACCGTTGAAAATTTCCAACAGCTTTTCCCTTCGTTCTCGACTTAATCGTATCGAGTAGACGGTTGGAACAAAGTCGAACTTGTTGGTTCCGTAGTAGATCGCAACTGGTGTCATCTAACACGTTATGCCAACTTGAAATTTACACGTTGCTTCGAGTTCCATTCTTTGCATTGTCGCGGAGACGCGAATCGAGCCGCGGGCTTTACGGGAAACAATCGCGAACCGTCCTTTGTCTCGCGGTCGACTTTATCCGACATGCATCGTGACCAACGATAACCGAGTATTATTGTTCTTTTTTTTTTTTCATTCAAGGGTTAAAGAAACGCGAACAGTTGAACGCGTAGCGTGACAAAAAGGGGAGAATTGGCCTGAAAAATGAATAGGTTGTAAAAGGACAGCCACTCGTTTACGAGTACAGGGACATTTCAACCGTGAAATAACTTAACCCGTTCTAAGTCACGATTTTATTACGACGTTTTCAGGCAAACTTCGCTTCGATTCAAACATCCTTCTAAACTATTTTTTAACCTAAATCCTCGCGTGAAAATATCGATCAACTGTCACGATGATACGGAATGCTTTGTAATTGTTCTTTACCGCGCTTAAATGGCGTTGCTTTGGCAAACCTCCAACTGTGTTGCATCTTTTTATTTACCACTTATCGAGCAAACGTTGTCACTCCATTTCGCACGGTTCTCGCGGGTGTATCTACTATCGTCGACTTGTACCGCTTGCTCGATTCAACTGTACTACGTACAGCTAAATGTACATTGAACCGTCTAAGCGATTCGTTAAGGAATCGATACGAATGAAACGAATTAATTCGTTGAGACGAAGAAAAAGAGACCATGTACGTATAAGATATGGTGCATACGGCACCGTTAAGACACCTGCTGATTACGTTGGGGACGATAATAAAGCCGCACGCTTTTATTTGCCAGCAGCGATACCGTGTTCAACGTTCTCTGGTCGTTGAAATATTTAAAGCGCAAAAGTGCTTCGAGACATAGAAGCGTACGAAACGCGTAGTTCGTTTATAACGATTCTATAAATTTTCGGCCCAACAATTTCTTAACAATATTAAATTATACCAACGCATTCGCGATGCGATAACAACTTGACGAATTTCGGCAAACCGGGTATAGTAGTCCAGCCTTTCCTGAAAATTTCATCTAAAACGGTCGGTTCGTTGGGGAACACGATGGCGGAAAAAGATGATATATCTCTGAAAGAGAGTAGGCGAGACGAAGCGAATCGA